TGTGGTTATTCAGGTGAGTACTTCAAGAAATACCTGCTTAGTCCACAGCCCTGAGACTGGTGGGCTGTAATTGTTGAACAGTGAAAGCACCAGCCAGCATTACAGCAAAAGGCCTCATTAAGAGGGAAGCGAGTCAGTCTTTTCTTGTGGGCAACATCCATGGAACTTCAGTCAAAACCCACAGAGGCTAATGGGAAACCCCTCCATAGGTTGTGATGCACCAGCTCCCAAAATCCAGCTCTGAGGCTCTCTGTAATGAGCGTGCAGGATCCTACAAGGCCCTCACATGCAGCATCAAAGAAATGCAGCTGGTTCCATTACAGCTCTTTATGAAAACAATCACAAAAGTGGCATGCCAGTGCCAGATGGGCTTTTGCCAAAGTTCTGCCGAATTAGTCAAGAAACACCTGGTTAGTGGTACAGGCACATCTATATATAGTTTTCAGTGTCCACCAAGTTCTCATTAGCAGGACACAGGGAAAGGGGAGAGAGGAGAGGAAAGCAAGCTACTGAATTCTTGAGAGAGGCAGCCAAGTTGATTCAGTTGGCTTCTAAAACCAACACTGTAGCTACACCGATGCTTGAACCATTAAACATCACATTCTTTAAGCTGAAAAAAAGCACCCCAGAGTTTTTGCAAGAAGGCCTATTGTCCAAATAAGCAAGGTCATCCCTTTCATCAGGGCATTGCATGGGGGAGAAGAAAGTAGTCAGAGCAGACTTTCCTCAGAATAACTTCACACTACACACCTTGGGGCTGGTCAGGGGCAGCCTCCACTGGTCTCACTTCCTGGGAGTGAAAGCCAGGAGGCAGGTGAAGCTGCTCAGAGGTGTCCGACTCGCTGCACAGGCGGCCGGACAGAACAAGCACAATCAGATACCACTGTGGAAGCACACCAGGTGCACTCAGGTGATCCTGCTATAAAATCAGTGCTTTTGAAAGGGTCTGAATCAATCATTTCTACATCAATCTGAAAGGACATCCACAACAAACTGCACAGGATTCACCAGGGTGTGGGAGGAGGCAAAAAGAGAGTTCAGTGTATTCCGTGCCACCACCCTGAAAAAAGAGTGATGGTGTTAGGAATGGGGGACCACAGCATCTGAGCTCCCACAGCATGAGCCAGCACAACGACTAGGAGCCAAGCATACTGCCAGACAAGCTTTGGGAACACAAGGTTGAAAGCTTTCTGCTTCCTCTGCAGACTTGTTCTTGATTTAAGGAATGGGCAGATTGCTCTCTAGTTACTGCATGGATTTAGAAAGAAGAGGATGTGGTGTGAGCCATGGGGAGCAGAGGCACTGGCCCGAGCGACTTTGAAGGGGAAGGAATAGAGACACTCCAGGCCAAATGAAACTTTGCAAACCTTCCTGTTCTCCACAGTCTCCAAATAAATCATCAGCCACATTGTCCAAACCTCCTCCTGGCCCTTTCAGGACAGACAATCCTTCCTCTTCCCAAGTTTTAGGCCACTGATCAGGACCTCTTGTTGACAGTTCACAGCTCTGAGGCACCATTCATGGGAAAAAAACAGATGCTGAAGGGAATGTCAGTGACAGCACTTACCAGACACGATCGCTTGTTTTGGGTGCATCTGCCACCTCACTCCAATCAGTTTCCAGGGCAGACTAAACTTGAATGCATTCAACTAAGCATATGTAACACCCTGTAACTGCCAATGTGTCTGAAAGCATCCTCTTTCCTCTCTGTCCTCTTCAGCAATTGCCTCACAGATTCAGGACTTTCACTAAAATACTACATGTGACGGCTGAGAAGTGAAACACATGAGGAGCGGTGGGTTTCCTGTTCTTAAAAACCCCCTTTAGTTAACTGAGCTACTAAATAAGGGGGGGGGGGGGGGGGGGGGGTAAGGATTTTTCCCTCTGGCACAAAAGCAATGATGGAGAAAAGGACAACCAGCAGTGGGGAAGCCAGTTATCTGAAGCCAACCAGAGACAGCACCCATTGTCAGTGAGCTGTCAGCTTCACAACCCCCATAGGCAGGCAACTGCCTGCACACTCAAACCAACTCAATATCTGCATATACTCTAACCTACCACTGTGTATTAGGGAATATATTGCCATCTCCATCCCAAGGTGTCAAGCTGTAACATCCTCAAACAAGTCTGTCAACAAGCAAAGTCACTGAGATGTGATTGTGAACCCATACAGCTTGATGCCATGGGTATGATCCAGCCCTTGTTAAGGAACTCAGAACAGAATCAGCTTTCTCTAACCCCATCCCATCTGGTCACAGTTAATAAACCATCTGAAGACACATGGCATCAGACATGAGGCAACCATCTGCTCTACAAGCTCACTGCTGCTGGTGGGCAAACTCAAGGTGAGGAGACAGTGACAGTGGCCATATCCTCACACACCACTGTGGGTAGGTCTGGCACCTGGAAAGCCAGGCAGGCCGCTCCTGCCACTGTGGGATGCTCACATTCATTAGGGAATAAGGAACGATGGCTTTGACTGAAAAACACAGTGAAGAACGGTGGCGGTTGCCCAAAAGCAGCAGTTGCCATCCCTGCTCCCCCCCTTGCCTCTGGTGGTGGCAAAAGCAGCAGGCTGGATTCCTCCCCCAGCTGTGTTTCCCCTCTTTCCATGGCAGGACACAGTTCAAACCAGCCCCTTATCCCTGGGGAGGCTGAGTTCAATTGGGCTACACTGCTGGAAGCCCTTGATCTAGTTCTGGGAAATCCCCACAGCTCCACTGCACTGGGCAGAGGCAACCAACTCCTAACATCCCCTGAGCTCAGGGCTGCCAAGAAGCTCCTTTCCATACAAGTCTCATCTGGCTTTTCAGCATGGCGCTCTTTTGACTGAAACCACAATACTTAGCATGCTTCAATGATCAAGCAGAGGGCACAGGAATGTCACTTGGCTTCCAAGTGCAGCATTGTTCCTCCCTTAGCCCATTCACAGATCCTGACCAGAACATCCCGATCAAGCTCTAAATGCTTTCTAGAAAATCCAGGGAGAAGGACCACAGCACTGTTTGAGCTACCACCTCCCCAGACACACATGTGCCCACGCTTGCATGGAACCCGTGTCGTGCAACCCCACCAGTGCCTTGACATTGCCCCCAGAGCCCCTGTGCAAGTGTTTCCTTACTCCTTTGTGTCTGCATCAGACAGACCCTCCAACGGGCCATCCAAACATCCACCAGATGCAGTCGTGGCCAAACCAGCCTCTGCTACACTAAAATAAGCCAAGGATGCTGACCATGCCCATTGTATATTCCCTGATTTGCAGTGACCCACCACAGCTGGCTGTCACAACCTACCCACTGAGCCCAGACATTTCCAGCCTTAAGCTCTGCAAACCCCATTACCCAAGCCCCATTCCAAAAATCTAACCTCCAACATCCATGTTGGATCAGGCTCAGGATGTGGTTCAGAAAAGCTGCTCTCCCAGATGAGATATACTGCTCTGGCACAGCCACCCACACAGCACCCACATCTCCCATGACTGCACCTCACATGCCAGCAGCCATCTTGGCTGTGGGGCCCCACATATGCCATCTTCTCACTGTCAGCCCCATTGTGGGGAAAACGTGGTGACCACAGCTCATCTGAAGAAAGGGCATCGTGGTAACAATCATTCCTGGGAAGGCTGCATGAGTAATTTAAGAGAGAGGGAAAGAAAGCAGGCTAATTAAAGACACGTGATAAAATCACAGCAGGTTTAGCCACACTGAATATCCAATTAGGCCTATTAAGCCTTTGGGCCACAGCTGTGGGAAGGGATCCTGGCTCTGGTAGAGATGGGCGAGCACCCACCGAGCACCTCCCGAGTGGCCAGGAAGCACTGACTGCAGCTCTTTTTTTGGTACCCCCTGCCCAGAGCAGCCCTGGGGCAGCACAGCCCCATGCCCGCAGATTTGTCCACACTGCTCACCCACACAGCTGCTCTGCAGCCATGCGGTGCCGGTCAGCCATGCAGCAGTGCGCTCTCCTGCAGCTCCCAGAGGCAGCGCTAACGCTTAAAAATGGCCTTTTTTCTTTTTTTTAAACTACTTTTGTGCGCACATTCAGTTGCATTGTTTGTAGCAAGCACTTTAACATACACTGGCACATACACGAGAGGAAGAAAACAAAACAAAGGCGACTGAATTGACTGGAAGTGAGCAGGAACTCCAGCCCTGACTGAGCCTGTAAGCCCGATAATAAAATTCACCCAGTGGTGTAGTTTTTTTGCCTGCCTCTGTTTTAATGTTTACGGTGAGATGTGAGAAGACCAGCCCGCTGGAGTCGCTTTTAACCCGCCAAGAAGGGAGATCTCCAGGAAGGCGCTTCTTTTAAAACAGCATTCCTTGTTGCAAACCTTGTGCAGGCTTTCCTCGTTGCCAGAAAACCTGTTCCGGGCAGCAAAAAATGCGACGCAATGAAGGCTGGGGAACAAGGTGCGGAGCCGGCCCCGGGGGTCTTAGGGCAGGGGGAAGGACTCACTTCCCCAAAGCCCTCATTTTATCGGGGAGATTCCCCCGCTGGAGGTGATCGGGATGTCCCTGGAGCGAGGCCGGCCCGGGGGAGCCCCTCTGTCCCGGATCGCCAAGGGGGGAAAGGCAGCGCACTCCTATGATTGTCCCACAATAGAAAGGGAAGAGAGGGCTTTTAGCATTACTAATTATTATTATTTTTAGCGCTAAGGAAGGAAACTCGGCGGGAGCAGCGCCGCTGCCGCGGAGGAAATCTGGGACCGCAATGGGAGAGAAGTGCCGGCGGTCGCTGACCGGGAAACCCGGTCCCAGCAGCCCGACAGCGCAGGTACCGCGGCGGCAAGCGAGGGCGGGCGGCCAGCGCCGGCCGGGCCGGGGCTCAAAGCGAGGGGAGGGGAACGGAGGCGGAGCCGGCCGGGGGATGGCCGTAAGGTGAAGGTTGTTGCAGTGGGTTCATTAAAAGACAGAGTTCAACTGCTTGCCGTCCCAGAGCGCTGCTGGGAGGCTGGTTCGGCGGGTTGGGAAGGGGGAGAAGAAAGAGAGCGCAAAAGAAAAAAAAAAAGAAAAAAAATTGAAAAGAAAATAAAAGAGGAAGAAAACTCGCAGCTACTTTAAAGAATACCGAGAGGAACGAACCGAGAGTGGCGGCGGAGACCACGGGAAGAAAGGGCAGGCTACGCGCTCCTGGGGCCCGCTGAGGAGGAAGGATGATAAGTGTGGTGGCTGTGTGGCTGGTGGGCCTTTGCTTCCAGGCTGCTGTCGCGGTGAGCGGAGGGGGAAGGTTGGCGCACGTGGGGAGGGGGGGGACGGAACCAGGTGGCCGCACTGGAGCTGGGGTGGGCTGGGCTGGGCTGCGAGGGGGGCCGGTGCCGCCGACCTCCGTGGTCCGCTCGGGTCCCCGCAGGCCGTAGTTGGGGAGCAGTGCCCTGCCATGCCGTGCTGTACCGACGGGATTCGGAAGCCTTTTGTGGTGGTCTCGAGCCAGGGCTGCCCCGGCAGCCTTAATTCAAACCAGACCCGCTGCGGCTGCTCCTGACCTGCTGGCGGCTCCGCCCCAGGGAAATGCGGGCGGGCGGTGCTGCCCGGTAACCCCCGCTGGGGCGCGGGAGACCCCCGGTGCGCACGGGTGTGAGTGTATTGAGGCGTTCGGGGGAACGCCTGTGTCTTGCCTCCGGCGTGGTGTGCCCTGGAGGGGATGAGCGGTAAGTTCGGGCAAGCGCTCGCATGTGGCCCTTTGTAGTGCCGCTGTGGCCGGGGAGCCCTCCCCAGCAGACACGGGTGACCTGAAACGGAGGTGCTTCTGCTCCCCGTCCGCTTTTGTACCTGGAGAGCTCGCGGAGAGCTCGTCCCGATATCTTTGAGCAAACGTTCCTGTGGCGCACGAACCCTCCGGCCGCACGGGGAATCCAGCCCCAGACCCACCTCCCCTCCCGGGCCGCCGTCTCGGTGCCCCGCCGCTGCCTCCCTCCGTCCGTCTGTGTCGGACTTCGGGGCCGTCTCGCAGGTCCGGAGGCGCCGGTTCGGTGCGCTGCTCCTGAGCGCAGCCGCCCCACGCTGGCGGGGCTCGTAGTTCCTCAGGACTCCGGTGTTTCGGGAGCAGCTCTCCCGGGAACGCGGCTTCGCGGGCAGCCTTTCAGCCCCAGCATCAGCCGCTAGATGTCATCCACTAACAGAGGATGGCTCCGCAGCTGGTCCCTGCCCTGACCTGCCTCGGGAGGGCCTTTCCTCGGAAATCTGGCACAGCAGCCTCGTAAAAGTGCTTCGCTTGGTCTGTTCTGGGGCCTGGGCTCTGTGTGGCGATGGCAAGTGTGGAGTAGGAGGCTTGCGGCCACCTCTCGAGGGGCACAAAGCCCAAGTCGCCATTCCTCCTTGTGAGCAGGCAGGATCATCAAAGTCAAAACTGGAGTTTTTTTCTTTCTGAAAGAGAATAATTGATTTGAAAGTTGCCTGGAGATGAGCAGGATCTAAGCTGCTCAGTACACCTCCAGTTTCACCATACCATTCTATCTCAAACTTTACCTATAGCTCTGGACATGTTCCCTTCTAGTCCATGTGGTAGTGAGTAGCTATGAGATGGCTAAAAATGACAAGCATGTGACTGTTATCCACCCTGTTTTGTGTGGACAGGGCCCTGCTCACAGCATATGAATAAATTTTCTTATTAATTTTTCTACTGAATAAGATAGAAAACCTGCAGTTAATTTGCAGCCTCTGTTGTGCATTTGAATAAAATTCCTCTATGATAAATATTCCTTACTAGACATGATAAGGGCATGAGATAAATGCTTGTTGGGAATTTTCCTGTGCGTAAAAGACACGCAGGGCTGGGTGAGCACATGGAGGAGCTGAAGTTCTTGGGGCTGTCTGTGGTGACTTGGCACTGAAGCTGTTTCCCTTTTGGTGATCATGCGGCCTTTTTCCCATGTTGAAATGTCAGTGTCACCCACTAAGCTGTCTTTCCCACCCATCTGGAATCATGATGCTTTTGCATCAGGGGGCAGAAAGACTCTTGGGCTAGGCACAGAAATCGGAAGGGCTGTAAGCAGCCGTTTGCATATGCCAAGTCATTGTGCTGTGAGCATGAGAGTGTCAGTGTTGGGTTCTTGGTGGTCTGATCATTGCAAATGGTGCCGCTGCTGGTGCATCACTTGAACCTTGGCTATTGCTGCATGACTTGGCTTGTCCATGCATACTGTCATGGAAGTAATAAGCAGGAACAAAGAAGTGGCCAAATGAGAGCTGTTTTCTTTCTAAGTACTCCTGCCTCCCTGGAATGGTTGGGGAAGTTTCTGTTCTTATTCAGAATGACACTTTGTTGTTCAAAACATCTTGTATGATGTTCCTATGATAGGGGCATTGATTTTCTTGAAATAAGAAGGCTGCTGTATCTTAATCCATTCACCTAGTTATTCAGGGAGACCTTACACGGTAGCCTTCCAGTACCTAAAGGGGCCTACAAGAAAGCTTTAGAGGGACATTTTATAAGAGCAAGTACTGATAGGACGGGGGGTGTTTGTGTGTGTGTGGCTTTAAACTGAAAGAGGGTACCTTTATATTAGATACTAGGAAGAAATTCTTTACTCTGAGGGTGGTGAGGCACTGGCACAGGTTGTCCCGAGAAGCTGTGGCTGCCCCATCCCTGGCAATACTCAAGGCCAGGTTGGACAGGTCTTGGAGCAACCTGGCCTAGTGGAAGGTGTCCCTGCCTGTGGCAGTGGGGTTGGAACTGGATGACTTTTAAGGTCAGTTCCAACCCAAACCACTCTATGGTTCTCTCAAATGGAAACTTTTACATGGTGTAACCCTGCCGTGAAACCAACCAAGCCAAAGTGCATGGCTTGCTGCAAGAGGGCAGTGGACAATCCAGCATGTCTCATGAGGGAAAACAGGGATTTGATTGTTTCATCTGGTGTAGGTGCATGCTGGTGGTTAACACAAGCTTAGCAGAGCAGGCAGAACCTTTTTCCAACGGTGATGTCATTGCTATCTGAATGTAAACTAATTAGAAGAAATTAGGTAGTCCAGCTTGCTTATTAAACATGTAGGCAGTGGGTAAGGAGGAAACGCTTTCTTCTATAGTATGTGCAGAGCAGGGTCATGTTGTTTATCAAGCTCTATAAACAGTCATGTTGTTTAGCAAGGTCTATAAACAGTGCTTCTCCATCTGAACCCTCACTTGCTGGTGGCTACCTCCCAGTCAAATGGTGACTGTCGTATCTGGTCAGTTCCAATTAGAGCAGAGACAAATAAGCTGTAGTTCGTATCATGTATGGGGGCTCCTGGTGTAAGTTGCTAGCTTTTATTCCATGTTTCTCTTGGTTTCAAGTGGCTTGAAGAGCTAACATTTTTAATGGCAGCATTCTGAAACTTCTGGAAACAGAACAATCCTTTCTGACAACCCAAAACAAGTCGCAGCAAGTGCAAGAAACCTGTAAGCCTTCTAAAATTAAGCTAGTGCACTAACCTGAAATGTAGGCTGCTGTTTTAGCAGTAAAATTGGTCCATTTTAAGTATGTGCTTTGCATTGCTAGTGCTTAGATGTCTCCAGGTGGCCTATATAGTACCACTTTGTCCTAACCTTGTTGGAAGTGGCTCCTGTGTCCAGGAACCACACTACTGGCTCCGAGTGGGACATCCCACACTTGTGTCATCTGCCATCTAGAGAGCTGAGACTTTAGTGGGGTCTGCTGCAGGGAGGAAGAAGCTTCTTGGGAGAGAGAAGATAGGACCTCTTTCCTGAGGAGGTTTTGTCAGGAATAAAATTGCACTGCTTCAGCATTGTAGCATTAGTATTTTGTTTTGGACGTTTTCTACTCTATTAACTCAAAGGTATTAATACAGCACTCCAGGACAGCTAGAAATAGGTGCATGCACTGAGACATAGGATACTTCAAATGGCACTTGTCTCTCAGGACAATGTTCAGTTGATGTTAAGGCACCTAAATGTAGGCGTCTGTGTGTGCTGGGTGCCTAAGCTCTCATTACAGTCCCGGCGATGTAATCAGTGGAGCCAAAGAGAGTGATTACCTGACCAGCCCCTGCATGTCTCCTTCAAGGTGAGTTGCTTTGTCAGGGCTTTGCGGACGGGTTCTCATTTTGTTTACAAGGGGAGCACAGACACCTTTACTTTAGTGTCTTTATCGGAGAGCTATTTATCTTGAAGTGCTAGTCTTTTTATTTGTGAAACTTTCATGGTAACTCTCCCCATAAACAAACAGACCGGACAGGTGCTGTCTCTGTGCCAAGAGAACCAGCAAAGCAGTGGGAAACTCCAGCTTTCAGCTACAACAACAGCATGCTCCTGTTCTAGTGCAGCTGCATAGATGCCTCCAGACAATACTGTAGCCTTGCTCTGCTAAAGGCTGTGGAAGAAATTAGGGAGTATAGATGGGTTCTCTGTCACTGTGTTGAAGTGAGTAATATGAGCAGAAAAATAAGTGGAAGTATTTTGAGATGGGGGGAATGTGAGCATCAGAATATTATAGTTTTTAAAGGCACTGTTTATTTACAGATTAGAGAAATCTTTGTTACTTCCTACACTTTGATACATGCACTGAACTTGCAAAGGGGAAGTTGTTTTGACCAGCAGCATAAGGACTTCTGTTTCTTAAAAGTTCACTTCTCTTATGAGCTGAGAAGATATTCTAAAATGCAGAGAGTATGTAATGTCTCCTTAAGAGTGCCAAGAGTCAGGTTTGTTAACAGGTCTCTAAGAGTTGACTGGCATACTTCATTTGAACCACTGCTCTGCAAGGCTGCTGGTGTACCGCAGAAATGAGCTTTATCTGGCCTGGCTAGAAATCTGGGATAGTGTACTTTCTACTTTGGAGATGCTAGTGGAAAAGTTACTGCACTGTGAAGCCTTACCTCAAGGTGATATAACATTTGAACCTCCTACAAGCAACTCTTGTGGAGCAACATCTGCTAATGTGGTGGTTTCCCAACCTCTCAGTTTCTCAAGCAATATTTGGCTGCAGCCATCGTTTTGGGTCTTGTGGAACCGGCACAGGTCCAGCAGAGTCTGTTAGCTTGGGCTCCTTGCCATGCTTTACTGTAATGTTTGTATCTCACTGCTGAGACCAGTCTCACCAGTGAGGCTTGCTTTGCTGGATGGGAACCAGTGTGCTAGTGGGATTTGGATGGAGTTAATACAACTTCCTGTTGAGTCACTGGAGCTGCAGTTACAACTGAGTCATAAAGGTGGTGTAAGTCATGTCTTTCCCTGCTAGGCCTCTAGTTTGAAACTCCTTCAGTATTGATCAGA